TGAAAAGGAGGGCAGCGCTACGCGACAGGCAGGTTCGATTTCCGATGTAGATTAGGCGCGCGGGCCGTGCCCAGGGCGCCCCCCGCCCCCCTTTATACCAACTGAATCAGACATTTTTGCCATCTTCCCCAAGTCAGTCGCTTATTCGCTCTACAGCCAGCAGCTCCTGCTTCTCCCCTAGTGATGCGCAAAAAAAAAGTTAATCATCTTGCGCGCAGTTTCGAACCGGTGAGGAGGATGACTCGACTCGCGGGATGGCCCGCGGTGGGGATGGGCGCGCTGCGCGGGACGAGTCACGTGGCAGATAAGCAAAGACGTGATTGAAATCACCGCCCAATCAGCAGAGCAGCGAGGGATGCTCTGGAGTTGGCGCCCGTCCAACCCCATCCGGCGCTGGGATCCCGACCTCCTCCTCCCCACCCCCTTCCCATCCTGCCCGCCACCTCCCGCCGCACTCGCGGATCCTCCCCCCGAGCTGATACTATATTTGCCAGCGGCCTTGCAGTTGTTAGCGGAACGGATTTACCGCGCAAAGTGGCCCCTTCCTTATGTGTCCGCGTGAGCGTGTCCGAAGTGCTGGAGTGGAGCTGGAGGAGGGGGGTGGGGAGGAGGGGGTAAGCAGTCGGCAGCACAGAGCCCGGGGCGGAACCATTCCGTGACTCGAGTGTCATTTGTCGTGGTTACCCGCGGCGCGAGCAAAAGCTTGCCAGATTACCTCTTTAGCGCCCGGGACGCGGGGCGAGGTGGGTGGAGCGTAGCGGGTGGGATGGAGGTTCCGCGCAAAGCTGCAGAAAGCAGCCACCACACCCCACCACACCACGACCCCCTACTACTCCACTACCCACTCTCGGGATAAAGCAAAGAATTGGATCACCGCGCGGAAGCTGCAGGGCGCCGACGGCCAGCGCAGCTGTTGTGAGAGGGGGAGGGAGGGGAAGCATATCGGAGAGAGAGAGATAGAGAGAGAGCAGTGCACATGCAGATGGCTGCTGAGCCGCGCCGTCTGGGGATGCAGGAGCGGAGAGGAACAACAAGAGCAGGACGACGACGGTGAGGTAAAACCTCATCGGCCGGAGGCAGGTCAACGGCCTCGCCAGGAGATAGTGCTGCGCGGCACCTCTGGGCTGTTGACTCTCTGGGGGGCCGCGCCCATAAGCCACGCCCCGGCAAACAGGTGCACCGCACCAACTGCACCCAGCATCCTAGAGCAATCAGAGATTGTACTGTGTGCGTTGCGTACGGGGGCCCCGGGCCCGGGCCGCGGGCGCAGGTGGGAACCAGATAAGGCGGGAAGGAGAGG